TAAAGTAAAGAACCAAGAGACGACGGCGGCGAGGAAGAAGAAGCAGAGGAAGAAGAAGAAGAAGCAGAAGAAGAAGAAGAGGGAGAGGGAGAGAGCCACGGTAAGACCAGTAGTTTCCTCGGCTCCTCCGCCTGTGCACAGTTGTTATATGGAGGCTGCTACGCGGAGGCTATTGCTCCTGCTCGAGGATCATGCGCCCCCACTCTCTCCTCTCCGCGCGACACCACCACTTGCAGCAGCTCCTCTTCCACTCGCCACTCTTTTAGCTTCTGAATCTCGTATGTGTGCGTGCAGGTTTCATTCTCCCTGCAGATTATGGCTTTTTTCACCGCGATCTCTTGCTGCTGCTGCTGCTGCTTATAGCCTACGTAATAAGCTCGCGACGCCTTATTTTCCATTTTTTTATATGTACGCGTCGAGGAGAGAGAGAGAGAGAGCTCGTCGGCACGAGAGCTGTATAATATATACCAAAGAGTGCCAACCTACCGAGCCAACTATCTCGCAACGAGGATCGTGATCGCGATGCCCTCCCCGACCAATAGCCTCGAGATCATTTATATACGAATCGTTATAGGACCCGCGATAATCGCTGACGCCTGCGCTTGTGTGTGATCCTGGCAGCTCGGCCAATTTTTCATCTCGACTGCAGCAGCTCTCTTGGCTTGTACAACGGGGCGACCCCGCGCATACGCAAAATCAACGAAAATTACACACTCGGCCAAAGCCTGGGCATTAATTAAGCCGTTGGCACCGCGAGCATCGGCCTCGAAGTATGTGAGCGCACCCGAGCACACGACTTTGATAGATCAGCCGTAAAATTTCATCCCGCCGCGGCTGAGCCATCGTCGCTGCCGCACTCGAGCCGTTTTCTGCGGCTAATTGAATGTTCATTCTTTCGCGAGGACATTCGTGCGCGATTTCGTTCGATTGCGAAAAGTTGTGTTCGTACAAAACGAGATGAAAAATAATTAATTAATTAATGCATCGAGCGGGAGCTCAGCCGGTGTCGATTTTGCTCGGAAACGTATACATCGGTGGTTTATATGAGACTTTTATGGTTCGTACATCGACAGTTAACGGATTCCAGTTGAATACCATCAACTGGTTTAGCTGTTGTCAAAACGAATTATTAAGATTATTTGGATTTTCGAAAGCTGTATTATACGAATACTAGATATGAGTGTGTTTATGGGGAATTCCTTCAGAGTCGAACACCTCATCGTCCCAGTAAATCTAATTTTTTATCTGCGCTTAACTCGTGTTCCAATATCTTAGGAGTGGATCACATAATACTTATCGTACGAGTGTGTGTGAGTATATGAGAGCTTATAGAGAGTAAGAAAGAATGAGAGAGAGAGAGAGAGAAAAGTTGGGGCCTGAACCTGTCTCCGCGTGCTGCGGTGTGAGGCGCACCGCACGCGAGAGGGGACTCACCTGCATTCCATCAAGTATATAGCTTGACTGCGCCCCACTCCGCTTTTATCCTCCCATGCCATGTATACGGAGTGGAGAGAGAGAGAGAGAGAGAGAGTGGGAAGCCTGAGAGAGAAGATCGAGCTTACACACAGCCCTCCCTCTTGTTGCGCCGAGCCAGGATCGAACGTTTTCTGCTTTGGGCCCTGGACTGTATTTGCATTATTATAAGCTCGTTCCTCTCTTTGTGAGTGTGCGACTGCCGTGCTCTTCGATGCACATTTTTCTCTCCGCTACGACCTGATGCATATTCGCACCGCGAGCTTATGTATATTTAACTATACACAATTTCGAACGCACTGCCGTTGGAATTTTAAACGATCTGCTCCAATTTTTAATAATATTACACGTGCAATGTGCATCGGCGTTATTTTTATATTTTAAAACTTACGAAAAAGTCTTTTGTATTTTCAACTTTTTTACCAGTGGGAGTCGCTAATTTTTTTTTTCATTTTTAATGCTCTCGTCTTTGCTTTCAATGCTTTAAATTAGAGAAGGTTCTTTTAGTCAAAGAGAGAATAGGCAATGTTATGCGTTCCTTCTTCTTTTATTTTTTCTCCATAAAGGGAATTTCACTTTTTTTTTGTTCGGCTAATGCGCTGTGCAGTCTTCTCTTTCAATTTTTCAGGTACTAACCTGTTCATCGATTATCGATGAAGTTGAAATATTTTTCAAACTGTCCATAATTTTTTCGGCTTATTGGAGACTCGCTTCGGCAGAGCTATAATATTTTTTCAAGTTTTAACTGGTATAGAATGCTCGAAGCCTTTTAAAATGCGCCGTCGTTGAAAACATATAACTCACTGCAAATGAATTCGCTGAATAATTGAATCACCGAGTCCGAGGCTTGTTTATACTTATTCTATTTGCAATTAACGACAAATTAAATGGCGAAAATTCATTATATTCACGCATACTCGCACAGCTGACTCACGTGTCCTCAGAAATCTTTTCCTAGAGCGGCAGCATCAGTGGCTCGTAACACCGGAAGTCTCTAGACCATTAGGTATTTTTCAGCACATAGCGCAGAAATATACGCACACAACAGGTAGCAGCCGTAAGATGCTCAAAGAGGATTAAGCACGTGAAACGACGGTAGCTTAAATCTTTACTGGCTTTTATTATCTCTCTCTCTCTCTCTCTCTCTCTCGTCGAGAGCTCGAAACGTTAAAATTGCAGCTTCGTTCAAGCCCTAAGGATCAACAATTTATTCGCAGGAATTTTTTCCCCTCGAAATTTCAATTTGAGCTTTTCAAGGTTACCGAGAGAAATGTTTATTGTGCTACAATTTGAAATAAATACATTACGATATTGAAGGAACGAAACGCTTGACGATTGCTTTTATTTTGGCTCAAAGTCTTCGATAAATCGTATCGTCCTCAATAATCTCTTGGTAAGCTGAAATTTTGCCAATGGAAGCTCAAGGTATAAAGAGATTTTTGTCATCGCAGCTAAAGTCGGCTTCGCTGGCAGTGTGCACGAGTATAAACTGGAAAAAGGCCAGTACGTACGAGGAAAAAAATTGAGTCGCTGATCGTGTCCAGGACGTGCCGCTACGAACATCCAGTCGTCCATCTTTCCCTCTACTTTGCTGCCTTTTTTGTTCTTACCGAGTATATAGTTGCACACGATCGGAGTATTTAATCACTGCATGGCTCGTCGCCATCATCTCATCTTCTTAGGCGCACATGTACGTTTCGCGCAGTCCATTGTTTCCGGTTGAAGCTGATGGAACCGAGGCTCGCACACGCGCGAGGAGCCGAAAATATGAAGAAAAAAACTCGTGCCGCTCCGTCGACCAGCTGGTGGCTACAGTGGCGGCTGCGGCGATTCAGGTTCTTCGCGTCAATTAAAAAACTCGCGTGCAGACATGCGCGCGAGCACTTTTTTAATTTTTTCGCCTCTCTTTCTCGTCTCTCTTTCTTTCAATCGATTATTTTCCTTGTACACACTTATATACAGGGGTAGACTCATTGTGTGGGTGCGTATACGTATACGATGTAATATGCTCTCCGGCTTTGGCCGTACGTACTCACCTGCTACATTCCGATATATCGAAGCCTCGGGCAGCAACGCACGAGGCGCACGGGCCCTTTAAAAGAAACTTGCTCCTTCTCTTTGAGAACTTTTTTGTCCGCTTCTCTCTTTGCTGGCTTATGTGTGCTCTCCGGCTTCAAATGAGCGAGTTATATCGGACTCATTTGAATGCATACGCACGCGAGCGAGCAACGAAGTACGGGCTAAAGCTGAAAAAGAACGAGTATCCTTTTTCGTATCCTCGGCTTGCTCGAGCGCAGGGTCAACAATTGGTTACAAAGAAAAATGTATTTCAACTTTCTTCGGATGACTTTGAATGGAGCTAAAAATAGCCAGTCGACTTATGTAATATTTCAAATAGGACGCTGAAATTGATTGAATATAAAATGAACGATGGCTTCTCGGTTTTCATCGATGCTAAAATAAAAAAGAAAAAAGAACGAATCAAAGAATCGTCGAGGTTTCAAGTATAATTCGTGTATTATGATTCGAGCGAGTGAAATTTCATCAGATGGCTGCGGGTCGCGCGGCGCAAGAGCATTCGGCCGAGGCATATACAAGCCAAGCTGGTAGCCCAGCATCGCGCCGAGCTAACTTTAGCCCAGAACATATACACGCATAAGTATGCATACAATATCGAGAATATAATCGCAGGATAATGTGTCCGAGCAGCGGTGGCCAGGATGTAGAGAGAGAGAGAGAGAGAAAGAGAGAACGGGAGAGAGAGGCAAAAGTGATGGCATAGCGCTGATTACGTCTTAATTGTATGTGCGCAAGATTCGAGGTAAAGCGAAGCAGCAGCAGCAGCGGCATACACGTAGGTATACGACTCCTTTTTTGCTCCTCGACTTCCATTCGGATGATTCAGGCTTCTTCTTCTTCTTTTTCCTCTTCTTCTTCTCCTTCTTACTTCTTCCTCTTCGTCCCTTCGGTCGCGCAGCTCTCGAGAGCCTGCAAGAATTTATTCGTTCCCTCGTGCGCTCAGAGCGCGAGAACTGAATGTGAAATGGCATGCGCGAGCGCGTGCACACACACACACACACAACACACATACGGGCTTATATACATTGGACAGAGAAAAAAAATGAGAAGAAGAAAAAAAAGGCAGCCAGCAGAGCGCACACAGTCCCCGTGCGTCCTGAAATTCCTGCTTTGCGATCGCATTTTGGATTTTTATTTCTGTCGGCAATCGCGAGTGGGAGTCCCTGCCGTTTGCGTGTGTATGTGTGTTGGTTTTATGCCATGTTCTCGCCTTGTATGCGCCTCGTTTTTACAGGATAATGAAATAGCCAATGCCACGCTCCAAGTCATTTATGCTAAGGCACGAAATATGTATGCGGGCGCAGCACAAACTTGCCAAATACCGTTATCGATATGCTTGCCCGACTTTTTATTGCCATACGAATTTTATGTACCTTTGAAAAATCTCATAATTTTGGCAAATTTAAATCTCAGTAACTGACCGACTGTTTTGCTTTGTGCTTTTACAGAAAATTGGGCCTCGACTTGGTGCCTCGCCGTGGCGCGCAAATGGTTGATCCTGAGTCCATGTCGGTCGTTGATTTGTATCAAGTGGTACGTAATAACTTAATTATTCAACATTTTTTTCTGCACAATTACTATATTTGGTGTGTAGTAATAAAGAACATCACGGACAGGTTGTCTACATACTGTACTAGCGTTTACAATATCAATCAGAGTTAATTTTGTTCATTTAAATATTTATTCTTCATGTTTTCAAAATATTGTCAAAAATATTTAAATTTAAACTATATAGGAACATTTTGAAAAGGCAAGTAAGTGGTGGGTACAAACGAAAATTTCAATCAGACATCGTTGTCGCATGACACCACCGATCGGTAAAAGCTAGAAGCGTTTGCTACCTTAGCGACTTTTGGCGATGGACTTATATTTACCATGAGATTTTTTCAGTGACTTTGACAGGATCTAGAATTCGAATATTACACGCAAACACGAAAAATATGATTTCTACTTTATAGAGTTGGCGCGCAACTCTCGATCGAGTTTTTGCTAGCGATATAATAAAACGATTGTCCGCGCGACGTTTTTGCAGCACGTCGAGAGCGCGGAAAACTCCCAGAGCTCGTCGGCCCGCGGCACGCTGCGCCGCAAGGAGCCGAAAAAGATCCTCACCCATCATCTGTACTTCTGCATGCGCGACTTCGGCCACGCCATCAACGAGGAGAACGAGTGCTACTTCTCGCTCTACGACTCGCGCCGCTGCCAGTTCATCAGCGAGCGATTCCTCGTGCGCATCTCCAAGGACGGCTTCTCGAATTACGTCGAGAAGATGCACAGCAACTGCACCATCTTCACCGATCTGGGCAACGCCGACCTCAGCAAGGACCTCTTCCTGGTCGTGCACGTGATGCGCTGCGGCCGCATGCTCTACTCGGACTCGGGCAAGAACAAGAGCGGCGGCATCGTCTACAGGCGACCTCACGGAGTCGGCATACTGCCGCTGGCGGAGGCTCTGCTGCCAGATCGATCGGACGATCAGGAGTATACCTTCAAAGTGAGTTTTATATATTTTGTCGTGTGAGACACGTATCGAGCGGACTGGACGAGCTCCAAATTCTACTCGTAATTTTGCAGGTTTGCCAAGGCGACGAAAAAGAGTTCCACCAACTACACGAGATGCTTATCCGCGGCCAGAAGTGCTCGCCGTTGCCCGGCCAACCGAATTACGGAATCGTGCTGTCGCTGAAATTTTTGCACGGCGAGCTCAATCAGGTGCACGGCGATCATCCGTTGCTATTCAAGAACATTTGCTTGACGAAGAAGCTCGGCTTTTCCGATGTCATCATGCCTGGCGACGTTCGCAACGACCTGTATCTCAAGCTCGAGCGCGGCGACTTCGAACGTGGTGGCAAGTCAACGGGTAAAAATATCGAGGTAATGCTGTGTGTTGTCTTGTACTATTCATACACTATTTTGCGTTCAACTTTACTATCCACTTTTATTCTTTTGTGAGTAAGATTATAAATAATTATGCTACTCTTGTAGGTAACCCTGACTGTGCTGGATGCCGAAGGAACGCCATTGGAAGGATGTCTGTTTGGAGCCGCAGGGGCCGAGGGTAGCTCCGAGTATCAAAGTCTAGTGATTTATCATCACAACAGCCCGTCTTGGGCCGAAACTCTCAGGCTGGCCGTACCGATCGAAAAATTTTACGGCAGTCACATTAGATTCGAATTTCGACACTGTTCTAGTAAGAATCGCCTCTTCTTTTCTATATTTAAAAAGAAAATCAAATCACGTATGTCTGATGATTGTGTACTCATCTCGTAATCGACAGCACGAGAAAAGAACGACAAGAAGCTATTCGCTTTCGCTTTCGTGAGACTGATGGAGGCTGGGGGCGCTACCCTCCAGGACGGCATGCACGAGCTCTACATCTACAAATGTGAGGATCGAAGCAAGCTGGACACGTTCAGTTACCTCGGACTGCCGAGCAATGCTCGCGAACCGAATTATCCAGGTGGGCTCTTGATTCTCTAATAGATAGAATTTACGTCGCGAGTGGTATAAAAAGTAAAGCGAGCATCGCAAATTGCGTCGACAGGGGTGGGGCCGTTCACGCGTTCAGCGAAGGAGGCGGTCTTCGTTCAAACTCTGCTCTGCAGCACGAAGCTCACTCAGAACGTCGATCTTCTGAGTCTCCTCCAATGGAAAGCCCACCCGGAGAAAATTTCCGAGGCCCTGGGCAGGGCGCTGAGGCTAGACGGCGAGGAAGTCGTCAAGTTCTTGCAAGACATTCTGGACGCCCTCTTTGCGATGTTTCATACCGAGGACGGAAACTCGACGGCGCATTCGGGTCTCGTATTCCAAGTGCGTAAGATCGAATCGATCGGGACGCTATAGTCTCGAGCGCGACTCGCTAGTTTAACGAAGGACGAAATGATTTTGCAGGTGCTTATCTCGATATTTATCCACTTGGAAGACTCGAAATTCGAGCACTTCAAGCCGGTCATGAACGCGTACATATCGGACCACTTCGCGGCAGCTCTGGTCTACAAGGGCTTGATAAGTAGCGTCCAGCATTGCATCGAGTGGGCCTCGGCCCCGGAGAAGCAGGAGTTCATCCTCAAGTGCTTCCGCACCCTCGAGTACATCTTCAAGTTCATCATACAGAGCCGTCTGCTGTACGCCCGTGCCACCGCGGGCCAGTACGAGGACAGCTTCCGCAAGGATATCTACTGCGTGTTCGCGGCGCTCAACGGCCTGCTTGGGCTGCCCTACGAGCTGGTGCTGTCGCTCCAGGTGGCCCTCCTCCACTCGATCTCGGCGGTCTTCGAGCAGCTCGTCGACGTGCTGTCCATCATCGAGGTGACGACCCTGGCCTGCTCGCTGATCGACGCCGTGCCCCGGGAGGCCGCCTCGCAGGTCATCCAGGCCAAGCTCGAGGCCATCAAGCGTCTCTCGACCACCGAGCTCTTCAAGGACGACGAGAGCCGCAACATGCTGCTGACCATGATCTGCCGGCATCTGCGCATCCACCTGGCCCGCAGGGAGGAGCTGCGCACCTGCACCGACATACTCGGCGAGATACTGAGCTTCATGTACAAGCGCAGCGACAACAAGGTCAACAACTGCCTGCACCACGACGTCGAGACCCTCTGCCTGACCATAATCGACGTGCTCGTCCAGTCGATCCTCATCATCATCAATACCGGCGGCTCGATTCTCAACTGCCTCGTCGCCTGCCTCATGGGACTGCTGCAGCTGCTCGACGAGTACCACTACACGAGGCTCTGGGACGAGCTCACTATCGGCGGCGAGAGGAAGCCCCTCAAGGACTTTTTGCTGCGGGTGTTCCTGGTGCTGAGGGAGCTCGTTCGCCAGGAGATTTTCCCGCCCGATTGGCTCGTTCTTAGGATGCAGTCGAACAACATCATCTTGAAAGCTCTCCAAGAGCTTGCGCAACCTCTGGCGTTCAGGTAAGCGAGCGAGTGTGGTAAGTGTTATCGCGTAGTTCGATAACGCGGAAGCTATATTTCGACCGGTTAGAACCGCTTGCGTGCTTCGCGCCTCGCTAAACGATCCGCTCTTTTCTTTCTCTCAGATTTCTGCACGGCAGCTTCGACTCTCAGCTCTGGTCGACTTACTTCAATCTGGCCGTGGCCTATCTCACCCAGCCCTCGCTGCAGCTCGAGCAATTTTCCGAGGTCAAGCGCGAAAAGATCATGGAGAAGTACGGGGACATGCGCGTGCTCATGGGATTCCAGATACTGTCCATGTGGTCGCATCTGAAGGAGCGCAAGCTCGAGTTCATCCCGAGCATGGTCGGGCCCTTCCTCGAGGTCACCCTCGTGCCCGAGAGCGAGCTGCGCAAGGCCACCCTGCACATCTTCTTCGACATGATGGAGTGCGAGCAGAAGGCCCGGGGCAGCTTCAAGTCCGTCGAGTCCGAGCTCATCGACAAACTGGACATACTCATTAGCGAGAATAAAGGTGACGACGAGTACAGGCAGCTCTTCAACACGATGTAAGTTTTTCCGCTCGTAAATCTTCGTATAGCGTATCATATAGTTGTATACGATTGAACGACGTAAGGTGGTGTTAAGGTTTAGCCAAGTTACTCTAGAAATGTATATTTTATATGTTGTTTCATGCTTCATTAGGGAACACCTCAGCGCCGTGTAAGTCTCACGACTTAATGATATAATCTAGATGCACAGTACTTTTCATAAAATTGCTATACATGACTGAGTTTCCTTTGTATTATTACAAGTAGTTCCCCGTACACAATTCACAGCACACACGTATCAAAAGATTTATATACATGCAATTAGTTACGTAATTGAATTAAAAATTATTATTTAATCCTAAACATGAGTAATTGAACATTTCACCAAAGTACACGTCACGATAAAAAGTAATAATGCAATTCTAACGAACTGTGTGAATCAGATTGCTGGATCGTGTCCAATCGGAAGATCCAACCTGGAAGGATAGCGGTACAGCGTTTATTACGTCAGTCACTCGCCTTCTCGAAAGATTGCTCGATTACAGAAGCGTCATTCAGGGGGATGAAAACCGAGACAAACGCATGTCCTGCACGGTCAATCTGCTGGTGAGTTTATTTTCATTTCCGACGATCGTTCGCTCGAGTAATTTCGACACGTGTCACGCCGCTCGCTCGTGCCTCTATCTCGCGCGTCAAGCCCAATTAGCACTGGAAAATAAACGCGCTGTTTAGCACCCCCCCGAGCCTCTGTGCAGCGTCCGCAAATTGTGTTACACGTCGCTCGCTTTTTTTTCTCTCGTGTCACGACGACGACTCGTGCATGCGTGCGAAATAGTCACCGATGGATAGTCTCTGCGTGCGCCTCGTTAAAAAGTCCCGCGAGATCGCGATCAGACGCAGACTTCGGCTCAATCGCCATGGCAGCAGCAGCTGCGCCAGAAAAGACTCGGCCGAGTCGACGGAGAGTCGCGAGAAAATTTTGGACAAGGATTTCGGAATCGTTCTAATCTACGTGCAAAAGTACTACAAAGATACTTTCTACGATTTCAAATCGGCTGGGCGCTATGATGTAACTAGCTTCTTTATAATCCCCGATCGGCTAACTCGTCGTACTTAATGTTTTTCTATAAAATTTTGCCATTTTTCCTCTTGTCTCTACGATCGTTTCGTTTTGCTCGCCGCAGAATTTCTACAAGAACGAGTTCAACCGCAAGGAGATGTACCTGCGATACATCTACAAACTGCACGACCTGCATCTGGCCGCGGAGAATTACACCGAGGCGGGCTTCACGATGAAGTTGTACGCGGATCAGCTGAACTGGAGTTCCAACGTCCTTCCGGCCGAGTACGGCCACGACCAGCAACCCGAGTGGAAGCGCAAGGAGATACTCTACCACCAGATCATCAAGTACTTCGATCGCGGCAAGTGCTGGGAGAAGGGCATACCCCTGTGCAAGGAGCTCGCCGTCCTCTACGAGTCGAGGCTCTACGACTACGCCAAGCTGCGCGACGTCCTCAAGGAGCAGGCCAAGTTCCTCGACAACATACTCACGCAGCTGCGCCCCGAGCCCGAGTACTTCCGCGTCGGCTTTTACGGCCTCAGTTTTCCGCTTTTCGTCAGGGTACTGTATATGCGACGTTTTTTATCGATCATTTTCTCGTGCATTACTTTGACCTTACGACAACTTAATTGGCTTTCTTTTCATCAGAATAAATTATTCATTTATCGGGGCTTGGAGTACGAGAGGATCGGAGCATTTACTCAACGTTTGCAAACCGAATTCCCGAGTGCTCAAATATTGACTAAGAACTCGCCGCCTGACGAGAGCATCATTTCTTCCGAGGGCCAATGTAAAGTTCATGTTTATTTAGATCGTCTGTATGCAATCACTTGAAAAACTCATTAATCATCACCATTGCAGACATTCAGATTTGCAACGTCAAGCCAATCCCCGAGGATTCGAGCTTAGCCTCGGCGCAATTCGAAATTCCCGAACGAGTCGTTTCGTATTACCTGGTGAATGACGTGCGATGTTTCGTATTCGATCGACCGCTGCACCGAGGCCAAGTGGACCGCGACAACGAGTTCAAGTCCCTGTGGATCGAGCGCACCATCTTGACGACCGAGTCCAAATTGCCGGGCATCCTCAGATGGTTCGAGGTGGTGGAGAAGCGCTCGGAGCTGCTTGCCCCCGTTCAGTACGCCTGCGAGACTATGCAGACGGTCGAGCGCGAGCTCAGGCGACTAATCGCTCAGGTAAGCTGCCTCGACACTGGATCATCGCATTTCCTCGTTGCGGAATCGTAATTTGAATTCATCACCCCCTTCTATGTCGTTTCAGTACGACGCGGACCCCCACCGAAACATCAATCCATTCAGTATGCGACTGCAGGGCGTGATCGACGCCAATGTTCAAGGCGGCATTACGAAGTATCAGGAAGCTTTTCTCACGCTTGAGTTTGCACGACAGAATCCAGAGATGATTCCACACGTCGTTCGTTTGAAAAATCTCATTTTCGACCAGATGAACGTTTTGGAGAGCGGCCTTCAGGTTCACGGTAGAATAGCCCCGCCAGGAGTGCAGCCACTGCACAAGCGTCTCATTGAAAGATTTACTCAGTTGAAACAGAGTCTCGGACCCATCAGTCGACAACGACTGGTTCATCAAGACAGTATTATAAAGTGAGTTGTGATAATAACCGCGAACCTTTTATATAGATGGTTTATCCATCGGTAACATTGCAATTCTTATCTTCGCAGCTCACCGTTACCACCCGTTCCGGTGCACGACAAGCCTCGACCCTCCACGTTGGAGTCAGTTTTCAGTCGTCTGGGCAGAGCCGAGAGCGACGGAAACCTCGACGACGATTGCTTCTACACTCGTCTCGAGGGCGAGCCACCACCGCCCATACCGCAACGCGAGTCGCGACCCAAGTCCATCGGCTACGCCGCCAATACCAATGGCTCGACGGTCACTCCTCCTCGACCGACTCATCAGAGATCTCACAGCAAGCCGTTGAGCCCGAAGATGCAGCTTCGAACGTCGTTGTCGACTCCGACCGCCGACGGTGCCGAGCCGGTCAACATGAGAAGTTCCTGGAGCGAACCGAGCAACGAGCCAGCACCACCCTTGCCACCTAGAGGTATGTATTATCGATGGTTTATCGTGAATTATTTACATCGCTGTACTTTTACCACGACGATTGCCTATTCAGCACCGGACAAACGTGATGGAATCGTACCACCACCCGCACCACCAAAACGGCCCTACCAAAAAAGAAACCAAGAGTGGAATGGAAGCGAGGACGAGCATCGGAGCTCGACCGAATCCCATGATCCTCGGGACAGCGGCATATCTACCCTGTCCAGCCTTTCGGATTTTCAGTCGCATCTGCTGAATCTCAATAATCTCAATTACGAAGATTTCGAACCACGTAACAGATCCAATGACGTTTTGAACATTTCCCCCTCCAATCTCATCAACCATTCCCAGATGAGTATGTCAACTGTGAGCTTTTCCAGCGTTACCATTACCAATAATTTTCAAAATTCTCATCAACTGCTTGGATCCGAGGTACGTTACCCACGCGCGCTCAGTTTGTGTGGCTAGTCAAGGATTATCAAAAACGTTATTTTGAAATTTGTTTTTCAGACCACCCCACCGCCGATTCCTCCGAAAGCTCACCAAGACGGCCAGTCAGCTACCTCGACATTGGAGCGCGTTACCAATCGGCTGAATCACAATGCCTCGAACAATTCTAATCACCATACGGATAATTACTCAGTGCCAAAGTTGCAGTCGCTCAGCATAGGCTCCGACGCCGATGGAAATTTATAAATTTAAATTTATTTCCCATCTCTAACCTAGTCTGAAAGAAAATAATTTTATTTTTACACATTAAGCGACCGATGCAGTTTCATTAATTTAAGTTGTATATGATATGATTTTTCAAAGTCGAATCAGAACAGAAGTATATTTTTTAAAAGTTCCGGTAGAGCTTTATCGTTATTTCTTTACTAAAAAAAAATGGAAACAATGTTCTTTAAAGTATTTTAAATACTTGTTTTGAGTCCAAACAATGCAATCATTCCACTATGAGCTTAATTTGTATTACTCGTAGTTTAATCGCTAAAATTTGTACTAATCAAAAGCATTGAGAGTTTCGCTATGACAATGACCCACTTTGGAACAGTATTTATGTAAGCGATTGGTGAGATGGAGTCAAGATAATTCTCCATAAAATTGTAAAAAATAAGACGAGGCTATATTTGGCATTTAATCTAGTCACAGATATTACTGTATTTTAGAATTTGTAAGTGTCTCAATGATTGATTCGCGTATTAATACGCGATGAAGCGAAATGCATGTACAGTTAAAAATTTTCGATCTTTACCTATAATTAATATTATTATAATTGTGAATTACACAACTATATTATTCAATTTGAAATTTTATTTAAAAAAAATTAAGCATACGACTAAGTGAATCGGTTCCTCAACAATTTTAATGGAAATTGTTTAAGCGAAAAAGATTTATTCACGCATAAATTCAGGGCAACTGTAAGGCATCTTTAAACTGATCAAGTAACTAACTAAAAAATATTTTTAAGGTAAAATCTTTAAAAATTTTAATTATTTCAGTTAAAATAACTATTAGTTTAACTGAGTGTGAGAAGATTTTAAAAATTTCACTTTTTTTCATCGTGGATTAAATACTTTTGAATAAAGTGAAGAGAAATTAATCAAAACGCACTAAATAACGGTCTGTTGATAATCATTGATTTCAGCGTACAGGAATTAATTAATTTCTATACTGGCAACTATCTATAAATGTAGCGATTATTGATCAAAACTAAGTAATTTAATTTTATTGTGTTAAGCTCAACGCAAATTTCGACTCAAAGTAGATGTAAATGTTCCTTCTTTAATGGAATGAATTAAGTGTACCAGATATTTTTAAATGAATTATAATTGTAAAATTATTGTAAATTTATGTTCGACAAAAGTCCTAATTGTAATTATAATATGATGTTGTGTGCATGATATTTATGGTTTTGCACCTTAAACGCAATACAAATGTAATAACAGTTTTTACTCATTTGCACAAATCAAAAAGACAGCTATTTACTTAGTAAGGCAAAACATCAAAGGGTGAGGAAATGATTGAGTAATTCCACTTATTCAACTTTTTGCAAGATGTTTGATGAGAGGATTTGATCATTCGTACGTAAGGAATTCTATTTTATATTCTTTATATGATAATATTTGAATAAAAAATAAAACCAATTTCAATTATCAGAGTGTATAAATTATTATTTATATTTTATCAAGTATTTTTTATAAATATATATACAAATTATTTAGACAGTAAATTACAGTAAACTCTATTACGATTTTCTTTGTATTTGCATTTTATACTTTCACAGAACGTGAAAATGACACGTATTTTACTTACATAATGATGAAAAAAATAAGGTGAAAACAATGCATGAAATACATACTGGAATGTATGAAATGTCTAGAGATATCTAGCGCTGGTTAAGTACATAAATTACAAGTAACGACAATTGTTTTCAATATCATACGCATGAGTACAATAGATGAAGTTATAATATAGCAATGAAGAGATCATACATAATAATATATACTTTAGGTTCGACGTCTGAGAGGTTCGATGTTTGCCATCTAAACTGACTAAGACACAATATCCTGTGGGTATAATAAATTATTCAACAAATAATTACAAACATTTTCGTATTAATAACTAGAGTGGGAAAACACATTTAATAGCATGCACATATAATTTGTAAACAGGCACTCTCACGCAAACTTGCGATTCAATATATGGCTACTATATATCTCATTGCGGTCATGGCTATCTTAATTAACTAACCGTTTCTTTTCTGACTTACGCTTATAATCTAATCATTGCGTGTAAAAATGACTATTACTAAAATATTCTTTATTCTCTATATCTCATTTTGAAAACTTTGTACGAAATTTTGTTACTTTGATTCTGCTTGTTTGTTATTTAGGACAAGATTGTCATACGGACGTTTCTGCGTTGCTAGTATCCTTCCTGTAACGAAAACGAGCGTAGTTTTATTTAATATTCCAAAAAAACGTAACAAATAAAAGGTTTAAAAATTTAAGCAAAAATGGTTACCTCTTCCCTGTTAGTCGTTTGATTCCCAAAAGAAAGATCAAAAGCAAGAATAGAAAGAAAGTCATAACCAGTTAGCAAACCAACACCATTTATGATATTTGTTAAAAAAATCGAGAGATTTTCGCATCGTAAAAATTAAATTTGAATCATACTAACTCAGTCTCGTCGATTGTGTGTTCATACTGCAGCTGTTGCTGCAGCTGAAGCTGCCTCAGCGCCGCGAGCTCGTTGCTGTGCTGCTGAAGATCGTGACTCAGGGACTCGGTGAGAGTCCGACTGCTGATCGGCATTATGTAATCGGTCGCGCAGTCGTCGAGCAGCGTCGGCGTCATTTTGCCCCCGCCGCGCTTTATGCTGCCGAACCTGTCCAGGCCGTTGTTCAGACTGTCGTGATACGAGCCGTGCAGACTGCCTCCGCGCTTCAGACTACCGTACCTGTTCGTAACGTCGCGATTTATTAATTAGCGAAACGTCAAACAATTCCTTAGCAATCAAAGTATAGTCTTACCTATCGTATTCAATACTGGCTTGATTTATTTTATGCATCTGGCCCCTCTTAAGACTACCGTATCTCTCGTAACCACTGCCGCTTCCGTAACCGTTGCCGGTGCTGCCGTAGCCGTCGAGATTCGACATCTGCGAATGATGGCTTAAACTCGAATTCAAGATCCGCGAGGGATCCGACAGGATGTAGGGGGTCGGCGACATCGTCGTAGGCACTGGAGGCGGCAGCTCGTCCGGCGGCGAGTACGGGTACATGTATTTGTCGACCACGCCGTACTTTTCGTCCTGCTCGGCAAAATTATCGTCGCCGTGCAATTTCGTTTGCAGGTTCAGTTCGGCGTAGGTCAGAGGGTTCGGACTGGCTGTCTTTTGCGAAGCCAACTCGTTATCCGACATCGTACCGCCCGACCATTGGCTACCTCGAGCGTCCACTGCAGAAGATAAAAATAATTATTAGTTTGTGTACATTGATTCCTAAATTAATTCTTGGCCTGCAGTAGAGAACTTACAATTACTTCCTGGCAAGTAGGCTTCCGGTAATTGAGAGCTCCATCTGGGCGCATAGATGGGCTTGATATTGGGAAAGAGATCGGTAGTGGAGCAGTGCAAGACGTTGAGGGTTTCGGTAGTTATCGCGGCATTATTGGATTCACCGGATGCTTCCTCGGGGATGTTGGGTTGATACTGTATGTGTTTCTGCTGCTGCGTACTGACGCCGGCATTTTTCAGGGCCTTCGCGCCGGCTTCTTCGTCCGAGCTGTGCGAATTGGTCAGTTCTATAGTACGCATTCTACCGTCTGGTGGAGTCGTGTCCGAGTCCGATTCCGTTTCCTGCCTCTCTTCATTTTGATTCTGTTGCGTGGTTTCTGCGTATAGAAATCCTACGTTATAGCGATAAATTGTACAAACTAATTTTACTTTTTAATCGAGCAAAGACGTACCAAAGCGTTGGAGCTTAGTTGAATTATTGCCTCGCTTAGACATGAAAGCTCCACGATCGCTGTTGTAATTGCTGGTCGAGGTTGAGGTGTTGCGCAGTTGATTGTCACTTCTGTAGGGACTTGAGCTTGTTTTGTTGGTACTCCGAGACGTGGTGCTGCTCGTCGACACACCGACGTTGGCTCTTTTTGAGTTTCCGTCGGTCCCTCCGTATGTCGACGAGTACGCAATCCCAGACCGTTGCTGAAATCACGAGTATCCACAATTAACGATTTTTGAATCATCGAGTGAGACTCGCTGATGGCAAACAGTACTTACAGTAATGCCGCTCGTGACATTTTGACTACTACTCCCGTTGACCATGCTGACATCGAGCAACGGTGCTTTCTTGCCGATGCACTTGAGCAAACTCAAGTACAAATTTCTTCGGACTCTGCCGTTGATGAAGCAGTAGCCAACGAGACTGAAGGTCGCGTGAACGACTACGGCGATGCTCAGCATGTAGGACAGCGTCGGCGAGTTTTCCGACGCAGATAGTACGGCTAAAGTCCAAGTTGTCCCAAGCAGCGGCAACGAAGCTACCGCCAACCACAGGAGGGTCCTCAAATTTCCGAAACCCATAACGTGATCTTTCAGGGTGAAAGCCACTCGCACCGACAATATCAGCACGCTAAAGTTTACGAACACCATTGCACAGATCGGCCCGATGAGAGCCCATATCACATTTTCGTAAATCGATAACCAGCAGCTAGAATAAATGTTAGGAAAATTCAATCACGATTGTCATAACTTTGATTTAGCTAAAAATAGACAGCGACTGTACTCACAAGTAAAAATTGCCGTACTGATCTGCCCTAACACCGACAGTCAGTCCGACGATGATTGCTGGAATTCCATAGCCCATGGTATAGTAAAAGCCCATCTGTCCGTGATTGATATCCCTCATCTCGGTCAGCATTCGGTAGAGGTGAATCGAGTCCACCAGAGTCCAAGCGAAGGTACTCAACCACGAGTAGTGCAATCCTATTGCTATAATTTTGCAAGGAAACTCGTTTCCAACCAGCTGATGGCGAGCTTTTAAAGCTACGAAATAAAACGTCTCAGCCATGAAAACGCAGAGTATCAGGTTCTTGTGGATGTTGTTGGAATTGGTCTCGCCACCGCGAATCGAGCCCAATATTAGAATCGTCGTCAGTAGCAATGGCAACGCCACGACGAAGGCGCTGTAGGACGTCACGTCCTCGAGCAGCGACGGTTCCGGCACGTATTCCAGATCCATGATGTCGGTGAGTACGGCAAAAGTCGACAATTTTATGCAAGAGCAGTTGACCATCATTCCAAGATTCGTCACGCCCTCGTCCACTTCCGTCGTGCATCCTATTCGACTCCATTCTCCGATTCTGAAATAATCAAAAGTTTAAGTCTTTGTTGATTTGTTAAGATTACGGTAAAAATTTGATCGAAGGCTTACCCTCTAGCCGTACTCCAATGAACGCACTGAGGATTTATTCGCGTTTTGAAGCCATCGTCTTCGCTCAACCAAAGTTGCACTCGAACTGGTGATTTGAGAGGTATTCCTGTCATTGTTTCGTAGCCAGTTTCTGATGGCACTAAGACAGATACGGTAACGATTGGCGATGCAATTCCAACTTCAACTCCCCACCGTATTGTAACAGACTCATCGAATCTATGAATAAGAAAATGGTTGAAAAAGTTTTACTTCTATCCGGTTGTAGATAACGTTGAGCTTTCAAAGTTGATGCAAACAAACCTTTTGGGTAATATGTGTCCAAGTTCTTTATATTGCACGTAGCTTAGTACAGCTTTGCGATTTCCTAGACTGTTTTTTACGTTAAGATCACCCTGATCTACGGGGTTTATTCCAAGCAGACTGAGAGGCACTTGAATTTTCGAGTACGGGTCGAATTTGCTTGGGTCGAGCATGTAGTTGTTGTATTTTGGAAAACTTATCGAAAGACCCATGTGCTGCGGAGAAACTAGAAAACTCGAGGTGTCTGGTAAGATGACTCTTTGATCGGCAGCCGTTGGTCTCGGGGTAAAGTTATTCACTTCTTTGTATTCAGCAGTTTCATATCCAAACAAGCTTTCCGTAGTTACGATATCCAAGCCTAACACTGAAATTTTAATAGTATACTCAATTTTAATAGTAAATTTCGTCTGACGCCTTAAGAGAATTAAATACAAAGTCGCCATCGAGCTTTTTGGAGAAATATCCCGAAGAAATTTCAGAAAACTGTATAGTATTAAAATTGTAATTTTCATGATGGTTTCATCATCCCCACATTACTATCAATGCTTGTACTTAAGAATGAATCTAATTACAATCAACACAATACCAACAAAGTTAGTGAATTTATCTTATACATGAATGCAGAATGCTCATTAGCCCTGGAGCCCACGGGGTGTCGGATCGGCCACGTGAAAAAGATAGATGAAACCATGTTATTATTATGTATTTTTTCCCGCTGAAACCGAATATCACGGTGGGAAGTCGCTCAGACTACCCAAAAATTTGTTATAAACAAATATATTGCAAAATGAAGAAAATTAAATTTTTCTAAATTTCAAACCCATTTTAATGTTTGTGTTCATTGGGCAATTTTAAGCAAAAAGTGTCTCGTGTAAAATTTTCGTAAAATGATTATTTACCGAGATATTGAGACTTAAAGAGGAAAAAATGCACATTTTTTACCATTTTCCAATACCCACAACTTTTAAAATAACAAAGTTAGTAACAAAGGCATAGTGCGGTTTGTAGTGCATGATGAAACAGTGCTTTGATTTATACAATTATTTTATTTTGACGCTTGCAGATTTACTGATAAAAGTACTCGCCATCTAGCGGTGAAAGCTTAAAGTATTCTGGTCAAAATTTTTTGAAAAAGTTGAATTACCGTTTTCGGGCTACTTATTTGTAACGCACTCAATTTTTGCAAGAAAATTTGAACAATCGCCAATAACAAGTCAATTAATGTTAAAGAAAATTTTCAAATGATCCTATTTTGCTCATTAACAACAGAAAAAAACGTAGAGGATAAAACCATAAATGTTTAAAAAAGCTTTACACTTTTTGATAATTATAAGTCCAGTTTTAATGGTTTATTTATATCCAACAAGTTCTTTTTCGTTGGTCAAAAACCAGCCACAAAATGTTGAACATTATTTCCAGGGTTGAGAAATAAGTAATAATCGATTTAAACTTACCAACTCTTGGATCAACGACTTCAAAAGGACTCGTATAAGTGTCGTGCTGGGAAACCGCCAACGTCTTCAAGTACTCAGCCATGGCCATCATAATTTTTTCGGAGCCATCGCCAGTGAGCTTCTCGATTCTCAACCAATTACTGGCGTACTTAGTTTGCAAAACGGCGCCCGTAATACCCACAAGATGCTCCACGTAATCCTTGTCTTGGCTGTGCGTGAGATTCAAACCGGCCAAGCTCTCCTCGTAACGCAGCAGCGCCGTGAGCAAAGACTCGGCGACGAGCAGATCAGCGCCGTACATGGTGCGAGTCGCGTTGACCGCGCGGTGCAATTCCATGGCCGTTTTTACGGCCAGGTAGGTGTTCAGCGTCAGGTCGTTCGTTTCCAGAGCTGCCAGCTGATATCGCTGATCGATGAATGCCTCCGACGTGCAATTGAACAGATCGGCGTCCTGCCAGCCGTTGAGCTTGTCGGAGCACATTCGCGACGCCTTGCCTTCGGCGCTTCCTGGACAGTGTTCTATCGCCACTTGACCGAACTTGGTGCGAGGCCACCAAAGTCCTTCGGCATAAGATCTAAACAAACATAATCGTTACAAAATGCAATTTCTCGAAGCGAAATGAAAAATCACGTATTATTTCGAAACTTTACCTCGGACATCCATCGTAAACAACTTCGCACCCTTTGAGAGTCACTTCGGCGTAGGGATTCGGGCAAGCGGTGCATTGCCTGCCTATGACTCCAGCCCTACATCGACATTGTCCAGTGAGAGTGTCGCATCTGAGCCCGTAACTACCCGTCGAGTAGCATTCGCAAGGTATGCACTCGTTTCTCCCGACTGGTCGGTAATGATTTTCCTTGCAGTAGCACTCGCCGGTGGTCTTGTTACACGCCGGATCGTATCCTTGCGATTCGTCGCAGTGACATGGGCCGCACACCGGAGAGCCCCACCAAGTGGCTGGACATGGTTGTTCGGCTGCAAATTTTTTGGGAAAAAGAAAAATGAAAAATTAGGTAAAATTAACAATAGATACGAATCATAAGCTATGCTAATATAAAGCTGCAAATTTACCTTTGACTTCGCAGTATTCTCCCGAGTATTCTGGAGCTTTGCACTGACAGTCGTATCCCTTTGGACTATTGACATTAGCGACGCATTTACCAGCTTCGCTGCAGGGATTGATGTCGCAGATTTTTTCACAGCCTATGCCGACTCGACCTTCATCGCAGACACAGTCGCTCGATTCCCATTTTTTCAAACAAGTCGAGTCATCGGGACACTGAGTTCGACATACTCCATCGTTCAAGCAGCCAGAGGCTACATTTTCCTGGATTATGGGACGTTGAAGAATCGTGTGATTATTTCCAATTCTCACGTCTTGCAAACAGCCGCTGTACAACGGCAGTTCGGTAATGAACGATTTATCCGGACCACCGATTAGCGTTCTGCCGACGTACAATCCCTGTAGCTTTTCCGGCAACGACAAAACGACCGGTCTGTTTCTGTAGTCGATATCGAGTTCGACTTGTCCCGTCTGCCAGCGCACCTCGATTCTGTGCCATTCTCCATCGGCGATCTCGACCCAGGATTTTATGACATCGGCTCCGTCCAGCAACACCGATAATTTACCTCCGATGACTTCGAACAAGATCGAACTGTTCTGGCCTATTTGAATGGTCATGATGAAAGCGTATTGATCTCTCGTTCTCACGCTAAATCCGGTGAGCCAGGGTAGCTGTATAGGTTTGAGCAACGGATTGAAGCTGAGCACACCGTTTCCTCGGAAGTGCCAGGGTTTGGCCACTTCGTCGTCGCATTGTGGCCCGCCGAAGCCCTCGACGCATTCGCAGATGAAGCCAGCGTAAACTTCTCTGCAGATGCCGTCGTTGTGGCACGGATTGGATGCGCAAAAAGGCCGTTTTTCGGGACAACCAGAGGTAGTTCCGTTGTCGGCCACGAAGGAATTCAAGTCGACGAATTGGTGATCCACGTGAAAATCACTGATGCAGCCGATAAAGTCTCGATTGCGCATTTGAAAGTTGGCCGGGATCGAGGGTAGTCCTCCCAGCTGCAGAGGTCCCGTCAGGTCGAGGAAGCGATGGCAGGTCTCGGTGATGTCGCCGCAACGCTCCGGCAGAATGTGCTCGCTTCTGCTCGCGCAAGACCACTTCTCTCCCAGACGCTCGCCGTGCTTCAGAGCCAGCGCGATATCGCAGTTGTCGAGAGAGACTATCACAGATCGATTGACGTAAGACACCTGCACCTCGTGCCACTTGCCGTCGGACACGCCGCCGGGTATTTCGGCGGTCGCCGACGTTATCTCGTCCCCGAGCGAGAAGCTGAACTGCACTTTGGACTCGACGATTTCCAGGGCGATGAAGTCGTGCTTCTCGTTGTATCGTCCGTTGTACAGAAGCAAGCCTTCCGACGACTCCGTGGCGAATTTCAGTTTGAGGTGGAACCGATGCCGTTGCCTCAGCGAAGGAAACGTAAGGAACGTCATGGGTCCGAAACTGCGCGACTTTAATTGACACAGAGGTGTGACGTTTTCCAAAGGTGTCACTGGGCAATTTTCACAGAAGAAGCCGCCGTTGACTTTGTTGATGCAGGTGGATCCTCCTTTGCATACGTTCGCGTAGCAGGCATCCTTTTTCATTGATATCTCGCAGTTTTTACCCATAAAGGTACTGAGGCACTCGCACGTGTAATCGCCCTCGCGCCTTCTGCACGTTCCTCCATTTTTACACGGATTCGAGTAGCACAAATTGACTTCGGTATCGCACATGTAAGCCTCTCTGCTGCCTGTGAATCCTTTCGAGCATTGACAAGTGAAGGTTGTCAAGGGGTAAATTGGTCTAAAAAGTACACTACTACTACTTGCGAAACCCGAGGCGTTTCCAAACTTCAGAACGGTGACGCATTCTTCGTAATTGAGGCAAGGTTCGCTGACACACAGATTGTCTTCGAACGAGAGAACTTTGACGTTGGCTAATCGAGCAAGAATGCCGCGATTCAAATAAACTCGTTCTTGAAGAAATTGCGAACTGTAAAACTCGTCGTGCAAACCTGGCTCGACTCGCCGGGCTGAAAAACTCACGTTTAGAATTTTACTTTGAACATCCGTATCTTCTTGAATACTAAAAATGAAAATATTTTCTTTGGGGCACGGAATGATAGCGGCCAGTCCGTCCAAAAAGTATCCTAAAAGTGGACTCAAGAAGGCATCTAACGTCATTTCATCTAATCTCACCGTTATGGAATTAAACAACATTTTATTAGTCACTAATCGGACCATCAAAGTCATGGTCGCTTTAACTTCGTTAATTCCATCAGTCACGGACACATCCATCGTAGCTATTCGAGGCACATTTGTGTTCAATTGCGGAGACAAAGTTATTTCTCCCGTAGATTTGTTCAAGTGAACTAAATTGGCATTGTTCCCGGATAATATTGTGTAAATGAGCTTATCCGTTACATCGGCATCAAAGGCAGGTATTCGACCAATGGCAGTGGTAGGAAAATAGTCTTTATAATTATTAAAGATTATCTGAAAATCTTCCAACTTTGGTGCATTATCATTAACATCGGTAACAAGAACCTGCAATAAATCAAGATTATTGTCATTTACTCCGATAAACAAGCTAAAGGAATTAGAGAAATGAGACGTTACCTGAACTATAGCATCTGAACGCAATGGCGGAGACGTAGCTCTTACCACCAGTTCAAATTTCTTCTTCGTTGACTCGTAATCCAGTTCAACGAGAGATATCAGCTCAGCCCGGTCTGCTCCGGGACGGGTGTTCAATTGAAAACTACTTGCATCGTCTCCACCAATTATAGAATACTGTACAATCGCATTGGGCCCCTCGTCGGGGTCGTGTGCGTAAATTTCTCCGACGGTAGAGCCGATCGGAGAGTTTTCCGGTATATAGAGGGTTATTTTATCTTTTTCGAATGCAGGAGGTGAGTCGTTGACGTCCTCGAGTTTGATGATGACGGAAACGGTACTCGATAGAGCCGGAGATCCACGGTCAATGGCCAAGGCTGTGAGATTGTATCTCGCGGTGGATTCTCGATCGAGCGCCTTATGAGTCCGAATTATCCCGGTCGTTGGGTCGATCGTGAACGAGCTGTCGCCATCGTTTTCCAACATATATTTAACCTGCAAATTACACATAAATAAAAATATAAGCATCGCTTGAAACTGAAAGAGAATCAACGACAAAGTTAGAAACTCACTCTTCCATTGAGACCAACGTCAACGTCCGAAGCCGTGATCTGCAGAACACTGGTGCCAATCAACACGTCTTCTCTAACGGAACCTTGATACTGCATCGCGTCGAATTCCGGCGCATTGTCGTTGACGTCCGTCACGGAGATCTCGACGTCGGTCGTGTCGCTCAATGGCGGCACACCTCCGTCCTTGGCCGTGACCGTCAGCAGATATCCCGACATGGTCTCTCTGTCCAACAACTTGGTCGTCGTGATGGCGCCGGTTTGCGAATTGATGGCGAACTCGGTGGCTTCCAGGCCGCCCTCCTCGCTGCCCAGACTGTACAGGATCTGGGCGTTTTGACCGACGTCGGAGTCGGTGGCGCTAACGACCAGAACCGTCGTGCCGATGGGAGCGTCTTCGAAGACCGACACGGAGTACGGGGCGTTCTCGAACACAGGCGCGAAGTTGTTGGCGTCGGACACGTTGACGTAGACGAAAGCGGTATCGCTTCTGCCACCCGAATCCGAGGCCGTTATCGTCAGAACGAATCGTTTCTCCTGCTTGTAATCCAGCGGCTGAGTTATCGTGATCAGTCCACGGCCGTTTTGCGACGTTATGGAGAAACGACCTCTGGTGTTGCCGGATGAAATTTCGTAATGTATTCTGGCGTCCTCGTCGGGATCGGTGGCCGTAACCGTCGTGACCGGAGTGCCTGGCGGATTATCTTCGCCGATGACCACCTCGTAGTTCTTGGGATCGAAGTACGGATCGTTGTCGTTGACGTCCGTGACCGTCAGCAGAACAGTGGCACTGGCGGATTTCGGCGGTTCCCCGGAATCGCTGGCTATGACGATAAATTGGTACTTGGAGCACTGCTCGCGATCGAGTTGTCTGACCGTGTAAATCCATCCAGTTTCGTTGTTCACCACGACGGGATAGTCTTCGGTGGAACCTCCGCTGAGATCGCGAGATCCGATGCTGTATCTTATCAGTGCGTTGGGACCTTCGTCGGCGTCGTACGCCTGTACCCGCAGCACGGAGTAACCCACGGACACCGATTCCGAAACGGCCTCTTGAAATTGCGACGTGTGGAATCTGAAATGGATATTACATCGTTAAACATCTATCGCTGACGTACGAGTAAAACACTATTTCTCTACTTACCTAGGCACGTTGTCGTTGACGTCTTTGACCCGGACCAATAGTTGCGTCGTATTTGACTTGGCCGGCATTCCACCGTCCTGCGCCCTGACGATGATCTTGTAATTCTTCACGGTCTCGTAATCCAGTGGCTTGACCAGAATCACGTCTCCGCTCGTCGAATCGATCTGAAAGGTGTTCTGCGTGTTGCCGCCGATGATGGCGTAGCGGATGGCGGAATTGCTGCCGGTGTCGGCGTCGGTGGCGCGAATCTCGGCGATCACCGGATTGATCGTGTAATCGAGATCCTCGGGCACGTTGACGGTGTAGGTGCGCTCGGAGAACTGCGGATAATTGTCGTTGTCGTCGAGCACGTGAATGACCAGCGTAGCCGAGGAGCTCTGACGATTCGTCGAGGGAGTCGCGAGATCCGTCGCCTGGACTATCACCGTGTACACTTCCGTCTTTTCTCGGTCGAGGGTCGTTCTGGTCGTTACTATGCCGCTTCGGGTATCGATTCTGAAAAAGAACCAATCAAGCATTGAAATATACATCTTCAGCGAAGAATCAAGCTAGGTCGCGAGCATCCACATGGCTTTTCCGTGCGTACCTGAAAGTAGATTGATCCTCAAGCATGGTCGTCGTACCGCCACCGGTGGTCGAGACGATCGAGTACTCGACCTCGGCGTTCTTTCCCATGTCCTGATCGGTGGCCTTGATCGATATCACGCTCGAGCCCAGAGGCACGCTCTCGTGGACCGACGCCTCGTACTCGGGCGACTCGAAATTCGGCGCGTGATCGTTGGCGTCGAGGACGTTGATCTGAAGCGTCGTCGTTCCGGTCCGAGGCGGAAACGAGTCGTCCACCGCGAGAACTCGAAAGTAATGAACGTCCACGTTCTCGCGATCGAGCCGAGCCGTCGTGCTGACTTTGCCGCTCGCCGAATCCAGATTGAAGAGATTCTGCGATCGCGAGTCCAATAGAGAGCTCATCGTGTACCTGACAAAAAACGTCAACGATTCGTTGTTAATCACTTGCCCGTTGAAACTGAGAAATATCGCTTGAAAAATTGTAACTAACCGAACGACGCCACCTTCCGGATCTCTCGCTCTGACCGTGGTCACTCCGATTCCTGGTTCCCTCTCTTCTTCCACCGCTGCGACGTAGAGCGCTTGCTCGAAAAACGGCGACTGATTTCGAAGCTCGCGTCTGACTCTGCGGCCCAGATCCGAGTCGTCGAGTTGCTGGTGATGGAAAACGATCTTCAGGCGATGCTCCGCGTCGGCCAAGTACGTCGTGGCGCATCGCAGCTGCATCGATACCGATATCTTCCACAAAGGATCGACCAGGCATTGTTCCGAGGCCGAGACCAAGTCTCCCGCGGCACCTTCGATCAAAAAACGCGGATCCGCGACTCCTCCTGCAATAGCGTGAAAAATGAATGTACAATTCGTATCGACGTTGGCTCGCTAGTTTTATTCATGTGAGCGTGTGTAACCTCCGCAAAGACTACTTTTAGACGTTGAAGAAAAAATAATTTAAATTGGCCCGTCGTACAATTGTCTTTGTGCTCTAAAGGTGAATGCTAGAATGACTCGGCTGCGGGGCCATAAGAGGCATAAGCGCGCTGATAAAATAGTAAAGGCCTCGAGCCATATACTACTTGCGTGCACTTGGATAAGCTACACATCATCGGACGTAAAGAGTCACGCGGCCTGTATGAGAGCAAATTATATCGTATAGAGAATACTGAACCCGGAAACGACGTAAAAGTCTCATGCTGCAGAACTATATTATTACTTTACTGTAGCATGTGCGCGCGTTGTGTATAGTACTATACATAAATATATGTGTGTGTGTGTGAGTGTATACACGTGCTGTGCATTATGCCGCGAGTATACTGACCCCATCTAGTCTCGCACTGCTCGAGGGCCGTGTGGGGCAGAAAGTCCCTGAGCGCGGCTACCAGCTGCGACGTCCTGAGACAGACCTGGGTGAACTTGTCGGTGCTGGGCATGGCGTAGGAGGCCAGGGTCTCGGCCATCCATCCCTTGGTGGCGGCCAGATCGACGTTCTCGCCTCCGCAGCCGGTGACGAGGATGCGCAGCGGCAGACTGTAATAGTCGATGGTCACTCGGCCCAGCCGCGTACTCGTCGAGTCGATGTAGAACGTGAACAGCCTGCAGGACAGTTGGTAATGTACGTGCAATCATAATTACGCGGCCGCGCAGCGAGATCTTGGAAGGACGATAAGTGCGCGCGCTTTACGTTGCATGACTTGCGCGCGCCCGCGCAAGCGCATCTCGCTCGTGTGTTTTTTGCCGATCGCGCGGAGAAATTTATTGCATCTATTACGAATGCCCGTTCGCGCTATTGTTTAGTCACGAATCTACTTTACTCAAAGACGCTCTGGATGACTGGACATTTTTCTATCGAATCAAAATTGATCTCGCAACGAGCTTATGATATTTTTCAATTAAAATGTTCAAATCATCGAGCTTTGTTCGAAAAAAAAATAATAGATAGCTATAATTTTGGACGAACATCTCAATCAGTTAGCGCCACTTACCTGGGATATTGGAGCCCATCGCAGTTGAGACTCTTGGCCAAGGTAACTCGACCGGTGTGCGGATGAACCTTGAGCAGTCTGAGCGCGAACCACGCCGTCCTGTCCTGGGACGCGCTGTATCTCCTCTTGCCGCCGAGATGCGGCACGCCGGCCTCGAACACGACGGTGCCGGGCGGCAGGTCGGACGAGAGCACGGCCAAGTAAGCAGAGGCCAAGCCCGCGAGTCCCAGCAGCAGCAACGTAAGCAGCAGCAGGACTCGCGGGCATCCTGGGCACCACGAGCCCATCGGACTCAGCAGCGGTGCAGCCTCGTCCTCGTTGCGTTTCTTCTACCGCTGCTGCTGCTGCTGTTCAGCAACGACGTCGACTCGACCCTCGGGGCCATCGAGATACGTGCGCACCGAGACTCGCGCTCTGCACGTGGTGTGTGGCACTCGGCTTGTGCGCTACGCCCTGAAATCAAAGAAGGAGGAGCCATTATAGTTGCGATTAGAGCACGGAGCTGTGTACTTTTTGCATACATTGCATATGTTACATCTGTGTATGCATCTACCTATAGGCCTTTAATCTTTGCTCGCCAGCATTAGTGGAAAATGTCCGAGCGTGCGAAGGAAAAATTGCTATTCACGGCATACCGCGCGCGTGCGCGTGCGTGCAGTGTCATGTAGACTTTACACGCCGAGTTATATTTTATTTTTCGCCCTGAACAACCGTACACGATATAATTAGTGGTAATTTCATGTGCCAAGTCTCCGCAGGCAACTTTGTTTCTCTATGTAATTTTCGATATAAACCACGCGATAAGTACATGCATCGGTCAAAAGGCTTCTTTACTTTTTTTTTAACTAAACAGTTATGTCATAACGATAGGAAAAAATTTGTCCATTGGGTCGAATTCCATTGACAGCAGGTTGCACTCGTGCCGACATTTCAATCGTAACGCGATGCACCCGCTTAAGCTCGCGAGCTTGCAGCTTGGGCTAAAAGCAATTAACGCCGGTGCTTTGCCGAGACAAGCATGTGGCGTAATTAAAAAAGCTTCGCTCAAACAACCCGCGCGCAGTATTTTCATTCGTCAAAAGCTCAAAGCTGCTTCAATGCCAAACGCTTATAGCCTCTCTCTCACTCGCTCCTCTCGTCGAATCGAAACGTTGCTGCTCTCCCTCCCCAGGATAAAAAGCTCGAATAAAAGTGCAGTTTCGCCGCGAGCCATGTGCTCAAAGATCGCACGGAAAAAGGGAGACGAACAACTGCTTTTAACGAGCAGATATGCGCAGTGCAGCCGAGAGAGAAAAGAGAGAGAGGAGAGTGAAGTAGACGAACGAGCTTCCAGCCGCTTCGATTTAATAAATTTAACTACGGACAAATTATGAATATAACAATCGCGTCGTTTGTGCAACCATCAATGAACGTAGAGAAGCGTCAAACACGCACGTTTACTATAAATATATTGCGCCATAGCCCGTCCGTATGCTCCTATCCATTTCCCCTGAATAATTATGGTCGTAATACTTTAATTTACGATGGACGTGTATGGCTTTCCAACTATGTGCGCGTTGCAAAAAACGTTTCGCGGTGGAAACAATATTGTATCGAGAGAGCAGGCGAACGAGAGACCGAGAGAGTACTTAATGAGGCTCGCGTGTTAGATAATGATAACGTTTAGCCGAGCTGAAAATTCATTTTTCAAAATTTATCGACGATTATAAAGCGACGGCCCAACTGCCGACGTTGCTTTACACAATTTTTTGTCATAAAGCGTTTCTTTATATGTGCGCGCAGCGCTCGACAAGTAAACACAAGACTTTCGATATTATATGCTCTCGCGTGACTGAAAAACAACGAGAGCGCATGAAATGTGACTCGCGAGCGGACGCGTAAAAAACGAAAGACTTGTTTTCTGCCGTAGTAGCTTTTTTACCTTGTATGTTATACGCTTTAAATATATACACACACGCGTATACGTCCCTCTTACGCGGATGAGATAAGCTATATGGTCAAGTATACATATTGAACGAGTATATGCATATATACTCGGGTGCGTACATAAAGAAAAATCTAATGTGGCAGTAGCTTAAAATATTATAGAGTATCTAGACGACGTATGCACGCGGGCGTACACATACACACATGGGCATTATACGCGGGAGCTCGCGGTTCCGTGTTCTCTCTTTCTCTCTCTCTCTCTCTTGGAGCTCTTTCTTTCTTCGCTCCCGCGTGCCGCCTGTATGGCATGCATACGCAAGAAGAAAAATACACGCGATAAATCGCAAATGCAAATTAACATTTTTTTCTTCTTATATACAATACAGACTGTATTACACCATTTACTCGCTCCGCAAAGTACACCGACGTCCTATACAGTATATACCCCCGAAGGCCCTCGGGGCAACATCATGAGCCGTGGTGGCAACCAACGGCAGCATCAGCAGCATCAACATGGGTGCAGTATTTTTTCACAAGAGTAAAATGTTTCTTTCATTTTGCCAGCGCTGTTTATCAATTAGATCGCCGGGCATAAAGTGTGAGATTGCGCCCGGCGTTGAATTAGTGTCATTTGGCACCGACAAAACCACACCGTCACCGTCGTCATCATGGAGAAATGAAAGAAACCGCGAGACCGTCGAAGCTGTGCACAGAGTCAAAGTGGCGACGTTGGAATGAACCGAGAAGCTGCGGCTGTTCACATGCCTCTTCGTATGTATACGCGAATACTTGGTGTGCCTGGAGTAATAATTGCGGGTACTGCATCGCTGCCCGATGAATTATTAAACGAAGGAATTGATAATTTTCACTTCATCGATGCTTCATACACGGGCTCGAGTAAATCAATCAAGTTTCGTTATTACTCGGCTTCTGCTGTACGAGACCTCTTCTCTCTCTCTCTCTTGTCGTTCGCCTTGTAGGTACGAGGTTGTACGTTCGACCAATAAGGCCGAGCGAAGATTTTTGAAGAAAATTACCGATTGTATCGAGTCTGATTGATTCGAAGATTTTCGCGCTCGGCTCTGCTGTCGCTCGCTCGGGCGCTTGCATGTGCGTCCGCGCACCTATATAGACGTTGATTAAACGTCGTGCTCTGTTATTGCGTATAAGTTTGTAATTACCTAGAATTTAAATAATCAATCTATACTGTCATTACGCGCGATTGCTCTCATTTTTCGAGAGATCGGCCTCTTCCTATGTATTATAATATATCCTGTACTCTGTTGTTGTTTTTTTTTCGTCGTTGGTCGACGCATCGCTCCAATACGAGAGAGCGAGCGGTAGCAGCGCATCGAGCTCTTTATGACGTCACGCGGACGGGGTATCCGGTTCTGGTGCTACTGCTACTAGGCTGCGGCTGCAACTAAATCTGCAATCTACTCCCTTTCCTTTTTGCCCCGCATCGTGTGTATAAATATACGCGCATAGATACGCGAGCACACACGTATCTCTCGATTTCTTTTCTTTAATTGTAGTCTCTATTACTATCTTAACGAGTTGAATGTTCGCCGTCTTCCGTAGTTTACTCTCTGATGCTGCTGCTCGGCTATATCTTGATGGATTAAATTTTGGAATGTTGTTTCTGAAGCTTCGTCTTTTTTTTCATCGCGTATCAAAGGGGCAGTTCCCGATAGATACAATTAAGTTTTTGGTCTTCGTTATTTTCATTCCATCATGTCGCATTTCATAAGTTCCATATTGCTATGTGTAGAAGAATAGCAACCAGTTTGAATCGAATTAAATCGAGCCGCGGCAGGAATAATTGAGTTTACGCGCATAGCTCGAGTACTTTATTTCTATTTTGCAAAACGTCAATGGCGCAAATGAAAATCGACTGGCACCTAGTGGTGAAGCTTGAAAGTTTCTTATTTTTCTCCGGGTTATTGTACAGGAATTTCCATGGATTGACAGCAGTTGCTTTGTGTGATTAATTATCTTATTTGATTACACATTTAAATGTAATCTTGTCATTGATCTTGTAACGAGGCTGGAATGAAATTTCTGAATGGGTAATCCTCTGGATAGCTTGATTACATCAATTGCTGCGCGCAGCCTCCCGTTCGCATTTTCCGCAGCTCGAAAAGCTCGAGCGTATTCTTTTTCGCCCTTACATTAATTACGAGCTATACACACGCCACGGTTCGCAATGTGCACGTCGCATTCCTCCGCTTATGTGTATATGTACGCTCGAGCTCTGTATTATATACACATGCAAACCCGATGAGCTTCTCATTCTCTCTCTCTTGCTTCGCTTCTGAATATCCTTGCGCCGCTTTAATTATATCTGCTTTGCGTCCCACCCTCAGCGATGTACCTATAGCAACTCTGTCTCTCTCTCGTCGGTCTGCTGTATACCGCTCTGTTTTACGATACCGTTAGGCCATCGTGACTCGCCCTTATCTACGGCCTCTTTCTGCCTCTCTTTCTTTGCTCAAGTCTCTCGCAAGAGAGCATAGCAGCAGCAGCAGCACAACACCTAGTGCTATTTTAAACTCCTTTTTAGTCTTTCACGCATTAGATTCCGTTTATACACATACGTTATATCTATATTGCGCGTGTACGCCAGTACATTACACCGCGATACATATTACATTCGCGGCTAAGTAATATTTATCTGCCAGGTTCTGCATGTATATATACGAGATGTTGTTTTTTACCATGGGGTGCGAAGTAGAAGAAAACTATACGTGTGCGCGAGCAAACAACGTGTTATGAAAACAAAGAATTTCTTGGCAATATGTATGCAGAGAATATATACGCAAGTGTACAGGCGCGAGCACCGGTGTGCTATGTATAGCGTTTGTAAGCCGACTTCACGGAAAGGCGCGCGACGAGTTTTTCATTTTTGATTTCCTTAATATTACTATATTGTGCATTTTATTGCTGCTGCGGCTGCTGCGAGTTGTGCGCGCGAAAGGGGATTTTAACGGAACACGTACGCTACTATACGTACGTCGAGCTCTTTCTCGGCGTCAGCCCGAAGTAGTAGCCTCCGCTCGTAAATCGCGCTCTTTATGTCTTAATTGTGGAAAATGGAGAAGATACACACACACACACACGAGGTGTGCAGCGAGCATTATTAAAGCCCGGGACAAGCCGCATGCGTGGGAGATATTATTATAAGCTTAATGTGCCTCGGGGGGCTTAACATATTCCGCGACTTGTTCTTCTTTTCACAAAAACAACGTCGTGGCTTGCTCGCGTCTGCGAATAATATGATAATTATGAAAGAGCAGCCTCTACAACATCGTTCGCTTTGTCTATCGCCATAGATGCATATAATGTGTGTAAGCGGGTAACGGCCCGCTGCTCGATGCGTTCACAGCTTGAAACGTACTCCTGTGTGTACTACCTGTATGTTGTGCGGCAAACTTTGGCGTGCTAAATTTAGATGGAACTACTTACATATCTCAATAAATCATAGCAACTTACACGTGTACAGTTTTATGGGCATAAAGAGTCGTAAATTTACCATTATCAATAAGCGATGCTAAGTGAATATGTTGTCTGGGTCAAGTCTGATAACTCAATGCGTGAATTGAGAGATGAAATGATTAATTTATTTAAACAGGCAGCAGAAAGGTTGTTATATATCAAAGGGACGCACGAAAGCTTGGCCATATAATATTCCGAAACCATAGAAAACATTATGAAGCTGTGCGACTGGTCGCATCGATATTGCCATTCGCTTGTCATAGAAAACGCACCCCTCGGTAGGCTCAAAACTCATTTATGTTATCTGCGTGAGCGTGTGAGTGCGTGTACGTTTGTTGCTCCCCCCATAAGGTCATTTCAACGACGGGATTAAAGGGCCAAGCGAGCCATGTACATGTCGGCTTCGAAATAGCGTAATGCTTAAAAACGAGAATATGGTCGTCGGCGCCCGAACTTGTGCAATATGGACTGTTTACCGGATTATTCAGATAAGAAAATTGCCGCTTCGATGAAGTGTAAACTCGAGGCTTAACAGCAGTTTTATCTTCCTCGATACGCTGTGGTTGAAACACGTACCTGGCTTTACGTCGCTCGGAATAGGAATTTCATTGAGCAGTTGCTATATAGCTTGTTTCACAGTTCTTTAATTTCTACCTGGGGCATTTGGCCGTACGCTTGTCAACTATCCTAGATTAAATGACGGGAATATACGCAATTTTTCATAGATTTTGCTTGGGAATCTAAAATCTTTTATGGACATTAAATTCTGAATATAGTCAATCCAAATTTTTAGTCTTTTACAATCATTTGATTAAATTGATAAATCCATTATTATGCCTATAATATTTTTCTTGCCCAGTTATTTGAAAAATTAACATGAAAAATTGTTAATAGCATTGTAACGAGCCGAAATTGTAAATATTTACACCGGTCGTCAACGGCTTTTTGTCAATCCGTTGTTCTGCCCTTAACGTCGAATTATCTTTAGCTAGTCATTGAATAGGAAAATTTTATCGATTGCCAGGCATCATCCCTCGTGTTCATCCAGGCCTTCTCATCCTATTTCTCGGTTTCTTAGCCAGTCGACGAGAAAATTCAGTACCAACATTACGTGTGTATAGATAGAAGTTATGATTATTCCGAAGGCCATTACGCGCCAGAGTAAGCACGATAAAGAAAGTAAATGAAAGAGTATGGTCGAAGAGCGGCCAAGAGAAACGCAGCCGCGCATTTATACACGTTGAAAGCCGATCAAGTATAGAGTGCGACTTTACAAAAAGAAAATATGACGATTAATCGATATGATGAGGCTACTTTTTGCCCGCGCACGCGCTTATGTATCCTTTAATCGGCCTGCGTATATGATATAATGACTGTTGAAAATGTTGGAACCAATATGGGCTGCTGCGCGCCTGCGAGATAATTGCAGCAAGACCGGAAGAAAGAGCCGTCGCACCGCATTGCTGCGTACACAGCTCGTATGCAGCTTTAATCGCGGCGGCGACGGCGGCGACGCGACTCAATAAGTACATGAAGACGTTAGAAGGACAATAACTATTTCTAGCGTGTATGCCGCGCCGATATCGCAATTATGATCATAGGTGCTGCTATTAAGGTAACATGTGCTACGATGTTCGGTACATTGTACTCGCAACGCATCGGTGAATACCGACTAATGTACCGCGTGATTGGGAAACAGCGCGCAGTAGCACCGATGGATGGGCGATGAAAAACAAAAAAATGCGAAAGGTCGCACGAAAGTAACGGAGCGTGTAAATCTTTACACGACACGTTGCGATCATAACATCGAGACCGATCGGCATTTTTGACACCTCCGCGCGGAGCTCTCATCGGAACATCTCATACCGGTGCGCAGCGCGGCAGAAGCGGCTTATTTTCGAGCCCTTCTCAAAGTTGCGAGCCGAACCATTCAGTCATCCGTGAACGATCGCGGCGATCCGCAGATCGACGGGAAAAAAACGAGATCGGTGCAGCTATGCTCGTGTGTGCGCGCAGGTTGATCGCTGAAAGCAAGAGCACACGGCAAAAGTGAAACGAAAAAACAAAAAGCAGACTCGGCCGACGTAAGAGCTGGACAAACGCAAGAGGCAGAGGGGAATAGCAGAGCCGAGAGAGAAGAGCAGAGCAGCCTTGGCAAAAGAACGAGAGCGAAAAATAATGCCAAAGGAGATGCTGCGGAGGAAAAAAGAGTATAAGAGAGAGAAACTAAAGCGTGGATATGAAGCGGGACGGAGCGAATACCCTCTGAGCTTGAGCTATATAGCCTATATTATGCGGATCGACGAAAGAGAGAGAGAGAGAGAGAGGCAGAGAGACAGAGGGAGAGACAGAGAGAAGAGAACTTATACGAAACTATTAATTACGAATGCGGCGGGCCGGCGACCAAGAATTACGCGAGGAACAACAAGTTGTAAGGAATCCGGTCCTACCAATTATCTATATAGCTTTGGTAGTCGGCTTTTTAGGCGGTCGATCCTCGGCCACCTTTTTCCCTCTCTTTCTCTCTCTCTCTCTCTCTCTCCCTTTTCGCCCGCATTATGGCTTTCATAATTTTTTCCCTTTCATATACATATTCGAAACTTGCCCACGACTGAAAATGTTGCACACAATAGTGTTCTACGCGTTCGAGACGAACAAGTGTTCCCGCTCGAAGGGCTCGCATGGAGACGTTCGTTGTGCACGGCCGTCGCGCATAAAAAAACATGTGGAGGAAACACATGTTAAACGGAAATATCTGCTACATACAGCTTATTCGATAATCATTTTTTGTATCGTTTAATATATCAACTAAGCTTTCTCAAAAAAGTATATGTACGATATTTTTCGAGTGTACCAACATTCGAATCTCTTGGCAGTTTTGCGATAGCAACTATCAAATAGCCAAGTATATTACACCGTCGTACTGGCGAAACGCTAAAGTATCGCTGTGCACCTTCGAAAAACGAAGCCATATTTTTGCACTATCGCGATTCTGTGTGTATAGACGAGGTATAGGAAGCACAGCCGAAGCTTAGAGTCGTAACGAATCGTAATTATCGTAAATAAAGCCTCGCGGGTTGGTCTGGATCGGCGCTGCGGTGCACTTTCTGGACTCGCGGACTTTTTGAACGCGGGCCCTTCGCGAAAGAAACGCAACGGTAAGCGAGCGAGCCTCGTAAATAAAACTTTGCGCCTCGTATTCTCTACGCGAGCTGCGCGAGTCGGCCGCAGAGTGCATTATACGTCGTGTTCCTTGGGCTATATCGCGCGACTCGTGCGCTCTGGATGCTCCTCGTTCCTCGGCAAGGGCCCCGAAATTCGCTCCGAACAAAGGGAGTTACTTTTCGCGTGCAAAAAAGACGCGCAGGGAAAAAAGGATGAGCCGAGCCGAGCGAACGAACGAAGGAAGAAAGGCAACGTCCGTCCGTTGCAACTTTAATGCCCGCTGCGTTCGGCTATATAATGTGCAGTGTATAGCGTGTGCGTTGTGTTGTGTACGTTGCTGCTGCTGCTTCTTGCCCTCCGGTCCCGACTCGCGCGCGCGCGCACTGTTTGGCTATTATATGCGAAAAGAGAGCCGAGCGCAAGAGGCCGCCTCGCAACGTACTTATTTGAAATGCAGACTGCACGAGCAACATACATAGAGGTACACATCTATATGGCCGAGGCACATAAGCTGCTGCTGGAGCTCGGGCATCCTTCGAGTCTCGCGGCGCTCATGGGTATACATAACGTATATACCATCGAAGCGAGGGACCTCGAGAGTCGCTTTAATAATGGATATCGTGGTGGGTGTTGCGGTGGAATTGAACGGAGGCTGGATTAGATGCGACTCAGCCCGGAGAGAGAAAGAGAAAGAGAGAGAAAAAGAGAGCCCAACTTCGAAGCCGGCCGGCGCTGCTGCGGTATGTTTCTTCGTGTACGCCAAGACGCGTGTTTTTGCGGAGACACAATTTTTCTTTCCCATTACCAACGCCGCCGCTTCGTGCTACACCGTGGCATGTTCCCAGGACTCTAAACCACGCGTACCTACATAGCATACCTATATAGCGCATTTATATACCGCACGCGTGTGAAGATTAATGGAGCCGTGTCCCATCGGGCGAAATGGAGAAAAGCGTCAAATGCTTTCCCATCGCGTCATAAATAACCGATTATTCGCTTTTCCTCTGTCGAGTCAGGGGGCGAAAAAAACCAATCGCAGAGGAGTGAGCCATTAGAGTACTTTCCAACGACTCCGTTCGTTCATTTATTCACGCGATCGGCCGTGCCAAACGAATATTGATATTACCCACCAGCGTCGCTTGCAATGATATTATTATTGAGGATTCATGTACAAGTTGGCGCGTAATTAAATTATTAAGACGTAAAAGTTTATTGGCTCTGGCATTTTATTCCTTACGGTTACTCACGCTTCTTTACAATTTACTTTACGACTCGAAATTGTCTAGTCGCGCGAGGTTTCGCTCGGCAATGAAAATAAAAGCTCTACTGGCGCGTGTTGTGTGTGCGAGCATTGAAAAAAGAAAATCAATTTTCTTCTGGGCTGAAAAAGAGGGACGTCTGACGTCGAGCGTGGAGATCAGAGAGAGAGAAAGAGAGAAGCAGCGAAATCCTCAACATATACGTAGGTATACGGATACGTATAAGTATATACCTCGGCTCGCAGGAGGAAAAATCAGTTATATAGGCGCGTGCACGAGCTTATATAGGTTTAGCGTGTAGGATTTGCGCAGGTATCGAGCTGTACGTATAGGCGGGCGCGCGCGAGCCCGTACTTGATGATAGGGCAGAAAATTCCCGATAAACAGGCTATTGTCCAGGAAGGGGAGTCTCGGGCTGTATCTAACGAGAGGAAAGAGCAGCTCACCGCGCGATGATCTGTCGGATCGTGGCCGATCTCGGTGCAGGCAGGAGAAGATTCCTCGTGGCCGTGCGCACTTCTTACGTAACGGAGAATATGTTATTTATCGCGGACGCGGAGCGGCCCACTGCGCTACGTGTTGCAGCGCAGTACGCGTAAGCCAACTACTACTACTACTACAACTAGCAGCACACGGTGGGCGCTTTACGAGCTGCAGAAGTTTCGCGTAAACGCATTTATGACTTAATTGCAGACCGAGAGCAGACTCGGACGCCGGATGATAATATTTCGCGCAGGATATACGTGCCGATCGTATTATAAACGCGCGTGTGCATATGGTTGCTAGCTGTTGCGCATAGAGCACGTGTTTGATGCAGTTTGATGCAGCTGCTGCTGCTGCTGCTACTGCCACGATCCGGAATGCCATTCGAATTTATGAATTCTACCAGTGTAAGTGACTAGCGAGCGTTTTTACGATCTCTCGGTGCGATAAAACTTGTTATACTAACTGTACGCGGATTAGGCCAGGACTATAAGGTATTCGGGCTCCGCACGGCTTTCTCGATGGTCAATTTCCATATGCAAGTTTTCACGTAGCCTCAATTACGCTAACAGCTTAATAAGAGCCTATTTAATAAAGAGGAATTCCAGTCCAGGTTTAGCGTCTGAGTAACGCGGCGAAATTAAATATGCCAGCTGCGCGTGTAACCCTTTCACCCTGTCTCGATTCGCTTTTTTTTCGCTTCTGGCACGAGAGATACACGACGCACTCGAGAGCGCACGTAGGCAGCGAAAAGCGCGCGCCGTATATATCCCGTACGTAAGCTCGTCTTCAGTTTCACGTCTCGGTGTCGAGAGAACAGCAGGAGTTGACACGGGTCTTGACTTTCCTCCTCTCTCTCTTCTCTCTTGGCTCTCGCGCCTATGTGCCACCACCGAGAAACCTGATGAAGATTGAGCCAACTTTTTGTATCCCCTCGACAATGCGCGCACACCCACGCACTCCGACAGAGTCAAATGGAATGGAGCGAAAAAAAAACGCACGGGGAAAAAATTAGTCGGATCTCTTGTATCTATTCGGGCTGCCGCCCGTCGGCTTTCTCGATATCGTTCGCAACGCGTTCGGTATAAGAGTGGCTGTAGGATTTTCAGACACGCCGAGTATACATATCTGTACGCCAAGAAGAGGACGATCGTCTCTCTCTCGATGGAAGCTGCACGCGGAAAAAAGGTGGATTACCCTCGCGCTGCTCAGCCTGCCGAAGGGAAATGTGCATAGCCAGCGAGATATGTAAATTGCCTTTTATACATATATAGTGACTTGGCGCGAGCAGCTCTAGGGCTCGCATCGATGCGCCAACTTTTTTTCTTCTTCGTGCCTCTATCGCCGTTTTATTTTCAACTCCGATGCTCCAATCGTTTCTCTTTGAAAATATACATTTAAATGATTCGAGAGCGTGTACGCCTTGTGTAATGTCACGAAGTTTGCGCATTTTTCACGCTCAAAGGTTATAATTATTATATAGCTTATGAGCGAGAAGAGAGTATATCGGATTTACTCTGCAGCAGACGTTACCGCAATCAATCGTGATAATTGTGAAGATCGATTTTATTGGCAATCGAGCTTGGTCATGGCATAGACGCGACTCGACGCGGTGGGTGTCCGCGAGCACCACATAATTAATGATGGTGAAAACCCATGCTACATGTGCAATGCAACGCTGCGGCTCGGCTACACTGCAATAATATTGCATTTCGAACGATCGGTCGCAGCTCGCCGAGTTACAAGGGATAAAGCTCTCCCGATGATTTATTTTCAACGCTCGTGTTTTTCCCTACCGATGAGCCAACATTTTCCTACACGCGAATTTGACTTTCGCGGATGAATTAATTTACTAAAATAATCATTGCTACAGCTACTACGCTTGAATCATTTCCGACGGCCGTAATATGTATAAGCGCGACTTATCACAAGTCTTGTGTGTTGTTTATATACAAGCAGCTTCGATCGGATAATAGTTGCAGTACACCCGCTGCAAGCTGCTATGTCACGCTATTGAGATAATTTAGCCGCAGCGCCGTATGAAGCGATCTTTCATATACGTGGCCCCAGACGAAGGTCGAGCCAGTGCAATTAATCCTCTTAGGATATATATGTAAAATTATAGGTTGGCACAATCTATTCAGCTCAGAGCATCGAGAGGATGAAGAAGCTTTTAAAATGTTTCGTATAGCCCGCCGGTGCTAATATGTTATTAGACAAAACTGCGCCCCCCTCGCCCACCGAAACTAACTCACCGTGCGCTTGGGCGTCATTATTTCGTTTCACCCCGCAGCCGCATGATCTCGAGCGATTTTGTGTGTGCGCGCGCGCGAGCTGCCGCCGCCGTTGATGCAGTCGGAGGCGATTCCGAATTTTTATTTCATATTCGCTCCGACCTCTCTCTTTTGGGTGAAACCGCTCGAGCGTGCCAAAGGTGATATCGATACGATCGGGCGCGCGCCTTTTACTTACTTGAAAGGCTTCCTGGGATATTTCGACTCTTACCCGGTTCATTTTACGGCCTTTTTGAAATTTAATTTTAACGCGTTTATCGCTAACACATGCCATTCGCATCATTTAAAAACTCGTCAACGCGAAATTTCTCCTTTTGCGCGAGATTAGGGATAGCTAAACAGTCGCATAAAGAGAATGAAAAATGTGAGATTTCAAAGTTTTGATGTTTCGACGAGTATATGAGTATACAAAATCTGCCGACTGGATCTAAAAAAAAGGAGGAGGGACCGGAATGGGCCCGAGGTTGAAACGAGTTTTTTCGTCGAGCGAGCTACCGATTACGCAATTGACTTTAAACGTTTGAAAGGATTTTCGTATTTTTAGTCGTAGCTATTACGAGTCGCGGCGGAGTTTCGGCAGAGTACTAAGAGACGAAGGACTGCGTATACATATTGTATGTATGTATGCGAGCTACTCCCGCGAGACGATAAATCAAAAAAACATAAAAGCTCATCGAATAAGTATGATATTTCAGCATGAGTCGGTTCTGTCTTTTTTAGGCATTCAATTCATTAATATATGTGTGTTTGTTGTCTGGTGGTGGATGCGCGCAGGAGGGCCGAGGCGGCGGCGGCGGTGGCCGTAGTAAGAGCAGCAGCAGCGTGACTCGAGGCAAAAAATCAGCAAGACCCGATCGCGATCGGAATCAAAGAGCGAGAGCGAGCCTACCCATTACAATAACAAACGGCATCATCGTGTGCTCTCGGAGTAGAAAGAGAGAGAGAGAGAGAGAATGAGAGAAAAAAAGAGAGAAATCCTTCGCCCGGAAACCCATGCGGCATAGGACGCGCACTGTATCGAGCTTGAACAAGCCAAAGGAAGAAGGAAAGCATTTAGGTCTTTCCCACCCACAAAGGAGGCGCTCGCTCGCACTGCTGTATGCGATATATATTACGTATGTATGTAATACGCGTCTGGGGCTCTTCTTTCAGCTCTCTTTGCTCCATCTCGCTCGCTCGGTTGGATGTTTATATATAAGCTCCGCGATACGGAGTACGCGCGCGCGGATTCAAAACCTACATTAATCTCCATCGCACCTTTGTAAACATTAAAAAAGCTCGGGCGCGCGCGCTCATTGCGTATTATAGAGCTGCAGAGGAAGAGAGAGAGAGAGAGAACTGCTCACGAGATCGAGTTGGAAAAAGTCGCAAAGTCAAGTACATTCCTGCCGAGTGTCGAGTAGTGTATAATACATACATACGCGCCTCTGTGCATATAAACCGAGCGATACATACATACATACAACTCACGCAGCAGCAGCAGTGGTGCAGACTCGAGCAGTGCGTGCACAGGCCGCGATGCTCCTCCAGAGATAAGAGTTTC